TGGTTCCACACTAGAACATTAGGGACCGTTCTATTCTTAACCCATCCCCTTCTTCTCTACTGAGAACACTGGGCTATGTCTAGAGCTATTTGTCATCATTACAACTTGGGGGTTTCAGAGAGTTTCTGTGGCATCTAGTAGACAGAGACCATGTTGGCTTCCTTATTCTCTGCACTGTACAAAAAGGTAGATAATAGGGAAATTTCATGGACATTTTCTGAACAAAAATATTTGAAGGAAATGTTTTTGAAAAAACACAGGCACAGAGCCACCTCTTTTTCAGATTGTTCAAGCAGTCATGGAAGTTTCTGGAAGAGCTAGAAGCTTTCTGGAAGTTTCTGGAGTCCCAAAAAGCAGTGAACAGCCCAAATCATGAAGGCCACATTTGGATGCCCAGCTAATTCATTTCGTCACCCAAAATAAAGTTCACCAAGGAAATGGAAATGGGGTGGGTAGATTTTCTTTCTCAGGGGAGAGTTTGTTCACATTTTCAAATAAGTAGCCCACATACTCAGGATGCACAAATCTAAATAGCGTCAAGGGATCTTGCATGTTTCTAATCAAGTTGAGAAAATGTCATTTAAATCAGAGTAAATACTATAAGGAAACTGATAACTCATAGTGGTTGGCAGGAGTGGCTTAGCTGGTATGGACAGACACTGAATTTATAAACACTACCACAGCATGCTAGCAGCAAGAAGAGCAGCAAGCCTAGAGATCGTACCCACAGGAAAACAGACAGCAAAAAATCTGCCATATTTCCTCAATCCTAAATGTAAGTTTTATAAATTCACTCACAGTTACCAGGAAGGTAAGTCAGTTGGTTTCTCTGGAAATCTTTACAAACTTGAAAGATGCCTCTTGGCCACGTCATTTGAAAGTTGGGCCTGAGAAAAGATGAGAGAATAGTTCCCATAACCTGTAGAGATTTTTTCTCACCAGAGGGTTTGGCAAGATTACCATGAGTTTAAAATAACAAAGTTAACACAGAAAATTCACTTTATTATGTTTTGATTTCACAGAAAATGTAGACTTGTAAATAACAATAGTTCTTCATAATAATCTGTGTGACACTTTTATTACCTTGTAGAAGTGGGAGGTTTGGTTAAACAGGAATCCATGTGAATATCAGGGAGAAAAAAAAGTCAGGGCTGAAACAACTATGATATAGAAAAATAATGATCATGTTGGACTTTGCAAACCACCTGTCACTTTGCTGATCCTCAGAAAAATGTAAAGAGCATACTCATGGATGAGTGAAAATTTCTCGGCTTAGGTAAGAAGGTCAGAGTTAGCGCTCCATAGCTGTCAGCTCACAGCAGTAGATTGCTTTTCAGAAGTTCAGCAGGAGCCTGAGAAAAATTGTTTACCAGCTTTGGAACCGGTGAGGTCTGTTTGTTGAGCACAACTCCTGCTCTTCAAACCAGGAAACTTAGGTTGACGTACAGTAAACAGACACAAAAGAAAGTTCTGGTCCACTGGGTGTTTCTCTGAGCCTTTATTTAGAAGGCGGGCAAAAGGGAGATCAATGTTTTTAGCTGAGTGAGATTACACCAGCCCTAGGTCGGCCTCTAATAACAACATCCAGGCTTAACAATGCCATCAGGCAGAGTGCTTGCACAGTCATGTAGGCCACACTGAGACAGCCCGCAGTAGGTCTCCTTCTACAGTGGATTGTGAGGTTCCTTACTAAATTAACATGACTCAGAATAGTCCATGTCAAATGAGATCTTCTGCGTTCAAAGCATTCTCAGAAGGAGAAATGGGATACTTGACTTTTGTCAAGGTTTTATGATTCTTCAGAGAAAAGATATACTTGTGACAATTTCAAAAGCATATCTGGCTACCTCAACCCGCACTACACAATGGGTATGGAGGATCTGAGTCATGGCCTGGGGCCTGGAGCCTGAGGAAGGAGCTGTTGGGTGGCAGGGAAGCAAAGGCAGGAAGGAGGGTGGGAGTGTACAAGAAGAATGGAAAATGACACTGCCCATGATCATGGATCTTGGCCAGTCACTTGGCAAAAGCTACCTGGCTCTTCCTCTGTTTCCCCTCCCATCATCTGGCCCTACCCAGATCCAGTTGTCATTTGATAGGCCTTTCCTCTCAGGTGTCTAGTAGAACCTGGTGGCACTAGATTAGCAAGTAGTCAGTGTTCAGGGAGCCAGGCAATAAGGGGCCACAGAGCTGGAGCTAAGGGTGATCTATGCTCTGGAGGGTTTTGTGCTTAGACTTAAGCCATTTGAGGAGATAAACTGGCTTCTGAAGATAGAGCATTTACTCCTTCCTACCATAAGGGTCTAAGATGCTGTAAATCAAGATGCTGTAATTCAAGAATACAGACAAATATCATTCTCCACAAACCAAAATAGGGAAGCAAATCAGTTGAAGAAAGCAATTCATATGCTAGATCTCAAGGTCATGGGCAAATTATATCTTTAATAAGGAAAACTCCAGTGAGCTGGTCAAAATATATTATGGAAACTTATTTAGATACTGCAGAAAAGTAATAGACATTATCTTTGGCCTAGGAAACTTTGATTTATAATGACACTTTCATTGGAATGGAATGTGTAAGTGGACTTGATATAAATGGATCTTTCCATTATTTTGTTTTGAGTAATTTGTGCCTCACATCCTCTTGAAACCTCAGGTTAAGTAAGATTTAGAGTATTTGAGAATTCTGGGAATTAATTCTCTACTTACTCATAAAGAAATAGAAATTTCCTCTTTCAGAGGTAAAAGCAGATTAAAAAACAATTTCACTGTCAAGACATACTACACCTCCACAAGGATTGCCACAATATCCCTTATAGATTAAGACAATTTTTGGATCAGCATTGTCTCCTTGCTGCTTATCAGGAGGGATGCATTTCAGAATTAAACAAGAAAAAAAGCAGCTGCGAACACCCAGGAGAGATGAGAGAAACTGCTTTCACTGAGTGGATCACGTGCTGAACTTTCTCACACTTGCTGTGCAGACGTCTTTGTGACAGAGCACTGAGGTTATGGAGGGCATTTATATGGACTCCTTCACTTTTCTCAGTTTCAGTTTTCCAGTTTTCCCAAATGGAGGGGAGCTGAGATGTCCTCTAGAGTTCTTCTCCATTCTAAATTTACATATGTAAGTATATTTATATGCATACATATGCCAACATATATATGAACACATATATGCATATGTATATTTAGGGTGAGGAAGAATATCTATATGTAAATGTACATGTGTATATATATATATATATATATATATATATATGTTTTCTTTATTTTTTGTTGGTTGAGGGCTTAAACTCAGAGACTGAGTGCTGTCCCTGAGCTCTTTTGCTCAAGGCTAGTGCTTTACCACTTTGAGTCACACTGCCACTTCTGGTTTTCTGGTGGTTAACTGGGGATAAGAGTCTCATAGACTTTCTAGCCTAGGCTGGCTTTGAACTCAGCTTCCTGAATAGCTAGGATTATAGGCATGCGCCACCAGCACCTGACACATATATCATGTTATGGCTTCACATTCATGTGGTATCAGAAGAGCCCATGGATTTGGAACCCCCATGAAAGCATCCATACCAAACCCCAGTGTAACTGGAAACTTGGACTTGCTCCCTAGCCTGGCCATCCCCACACTAAGCAATGTTTCTCCAATGTTTCTACCACCTGAATCCCTAGAATAATAAGAGGACTGTGGATGTGGTTCAGTAGCAGAGGTCTTGCTTAGTAAGCGTAAGTCCCTGGGTTCTATCCCCAGCATTGCAGAAAAGGAAGAAAAGACTTAAGATAAAACAGTACAAAAAGATGAAAGAGCAACTTTGGAAAACTGATACAATGAATTTGGGACCTTGAGATCTAGGGAAAAGGAATAAATTCAGTCTATTTTAAGAAGGCTGAAGCCCTCTCAAAATATACAGACAGAGAGAAATTAGGATAAGGTACTCCAGTAGATTATTTTTCCATAAGTCCCAGTCTAAAGGATCCAAATCAAAGATAGAACAAAGTGAAAGTCTGTGTGAAAGTGAGCTAGACTCCATAATATGACACAGGTTGCATATATTGAAATACTTTGTTAGTGAATGTAGCTCTGAGAGCAAGAAAAATGAGAACCAAATTGTACATGGTGATGATAGGAAGTTTCATAGATTTCACCTTACTTTTATCTAATAAAAAAATGTGACAGGCAGTCTCTTTGTTTTCCTTGAATGTCATCTTTTGGCTGATGACAAAAAACAAACCACTATTTGCATATTGATGTTCCCATAATTACAGCTGGGTTGCTTAAACAATGTCTTCAAGTCATGATATATTTGCAATATGATATAGTATGGTTACTAAACATATAGACTAAACATATAAACATATGTGCCAAATGCTTTAGGCAACAGTATTATGCTATCTTAATTTGAAAAGACAGTTTGTAAAGGGTGAGGGTACTTGCTGATGCTCCTTAGCATATGGGACTGACTTCTCTCAAGTGTCTTGGCATGATAAAGCCTGACCCAGGCCTGGAATCCTTTCTGTTAGCATTCCACTGGTCTTGTCATCCTGAAAGTTTTCATCCTCTAAGTCTTTTCAGTTGTAAAATTCCATGAGTCACATACGTAAGCTCAGATTGGAATTGCCCTTCTTTTCCCCCTCTTTATAAGTATGGACATATTTTTCTGATATTCTACTTACTAAATCATTTTTCACCACATTCACTCAATAGTTTCAACATACCACCAGATCATCCATCTTCCTTCCAATTTGATCTCGATGCCCATCGAAGGCAGTCTCGTTTCCTGTGATTCTTTAAATGGAGGGGGCAAAGATGGAAAGCAATGACTTTCTGAAGCTTTGATTATTGGGAAAAATGAAAACACTGGATCAAAGGACACCCTTTGCTACCTTATGATATCAGAGTTCAATATGGCAATCAATGCATACCACAATCTGCATTTAAAACCTGAACTTTATTCACAACCAACCTCTCTAAGCAAGGATGACTTCTCAATAACAGTGAGCATCTCTTGGTCAGACAAAAGCCTTGCTGGGATTATTCAAGAATTAAAAGTTAATTTGGTGACAGGTGGTCTGCTTTCTTTAACTTGCTCTGCTCCCACATCCTCCGAAGGAAGCTTGGGATTTCTTAACTGTGAGCATTTGTTGGAAGACACAGAGAAAGTTGCTTTGAAATGCTTTTCTCACCCCCCGCCAGTTGCTCTAGATAGAGGAAAGCGTAGGTGACAGTGATCTGGGCTCATTGCCCTCCTCCTCAGAACAGCCTGTCTTGCCATTTCCAAAGCAAACTCAGCAGGAAGAGAGGTGACCCCAGACTGCGGAAGATGGATAGAATAGGGTATACATTATGTGCAGCTTGTGGCCTGCAGTCCTGGGCCCCCAGGGAGAGAGAAGGGGCTTCTGCTGAGACCAAGGCCACATGCCTTAGGGAAACGCCCCACCCCTCCCAACCCAACCCCAAGAACCCAGAGGTCCAGTGTCTTTGCAGATCAAAGAATGTCCTTTCGGGAGGGAAGGTGGATGAGGACCTCTGCTGGGGTCATGTAGGAGTTGTCCAGTCGGCACTCTTGGGAGCCTTGCAGGTGTGAACGTCCAGAGCCTCCAGGCAGTCCTGACAGCGCACCGCACAGCACCAGTGGAATTTACACTCACACTTGGTCATCCGGGTCACGCGAGATGTGTCATAACCTCTCCCACAGCACATGACTTCACAGCTGTCCATGCCCCGGGAAGTCAGGTTGCATACACGGCCTGCTGTACCCAAGGAGCCTGGAAAACAAGCCAGAGAAATATCATTTGAATAGTTTGAGCAGTTTATATAAGGCCTCAGGAGAAGAGTTAGGAGGCCTATCCTCCAGAACAAGGCCTGGACCCACCTCAACACAGGCAGGGGCTGTACTTTTCTTTGTGGGTTCCTGTTCTGTGTATAGCTTAGAGGTGACATATGAGCAGGATATAGGAAAGATGGACATGTAACTCTGGATTTGCCTTGGAGATTTGAATGCAAAAAGGGACTTATCCTGGTTTCTTCTTTTCCATCCTCAAACTATCAGTGATTGATCCAGGTTAGTGTTCTCAAAATTTGTAGAGCATGGAAAAGCAAGAGAATTCCCTGACCACATACCTGGCTTATAAGAAAGAGACCAGCCTTCTGGCTTCTGATGGAGAGGGTTGGGGAAGAGTTGGTGTCCTTTCTATGGGACCTGGAGGAGGGAGGAGCAACCCAACCTGGTTCACCACCGTTTAACCCTGCAGTCTCACAGGCCAGAGAGACATGTGGGAGATACTTGGTTAAAGCTAGGATTCCAGATCTTCTGAGAACAAAATTAGCATGAAAAAGTGAGGAATTACTAGTGGAATGTCATCTTAATCAGTGTTCCATTTGTGAAATATATAAATATTCAAATATTTATGCAAGCATATGCAAATGTATACTTGCATATTTTCCTTTTAAGAATTTCAAATATTGAAAGCTTCTTAATCTGCTCTCTTCCAGGAGAAATACCCAGAATTCCTATACATGAATTTCATCAGATAGCAGAACTAAGTATAGTTGACATCTTTGGAGAGTTCACTCAGCTTACAATGATGCTTTTCCAAGGACGTGTGTCCCTTGAAGCTATGTTGTAGAGCGTTACATAGTTCATGTGGCTTGGACCATATGTGAGGATCTGATTCATGTTGGGCTAATCAGGTAGAGTTTCTAGGAGTACGTGAATGTTGAGAGACAGATACTATTTCCTTTTTAACTCAGTAGCCATTGGAACTTTGCTCTGAAATGAAGGGCTATGGATAAATGAAGATCCATATAAAGAACAATGAAGCAAATGTATAGAAACACTGAAGGTCAGACCAAGAAACTGAATGCTACTTAATGCTGGATTACCTTCTGGTTCTGTTTCTACTTCTGTAAGCCAAGCTGCACTCTATCCTTTGAGTTCCTAGACACTCTATCCTTCTAAGTTCCCTCTTTTTCTATTTCTTGCAATCAACAACCCTAAATAATTGGTGGGCCTGAAAAAAAGAAATTTACTTTTTAGAAAGTCAGCACAATTCCTCCATCATATAACTAGGAATGCCTGCTTCCTCCCATCTCCTACAGAGAGGGCCTCGTGACTTTCTGTTTACCACAGTCTGTTCTGTCTTAGAATTATCTATATAAATGTCATGTTGCCCTGCCTGTCCAGAATGACCAGGAAAGCAACAAGGTTCAAGCAAGGCATGAGATCAACAAAAGCAGGGGGAGGGGGGGGTGAGAGGGAGAGAACTTTCTCTGCCTGGTCAGCCTTTAAGAGCAGGAAGACAGATCAGAGGAATTTCATGAGGACAGGAAGGATGGTAGAGGACTAGGGTCAGGGTGGAGGATGGGTCAGCCAGGGGTGGTTCAAAGCCCACACCATACTGAAGAAGCTTCAGCAGCTGGTCCTGGATTCAGAGCAACCATGAGGACAGTACTCAAAAGCTCTGATTGTGCAAAAAGTACTTACTGCCAAATGCTGTCTCTAACAGCACACCCATTATTTCATTTGATAAACATTTAGTGAACACAAACATGTGTAAGATGCTGTGTTGGCTGTTTGGGGTTTTGAGGAAGGGAAGGAATAAAATAAGGCCCAGCTCCTATTCTCAAAAAACTCACAATGTAATGAAAGGATAAATATGTGGAAAGATATTTTCAGTACTTCTGAATAATTATTTCATTTTCTCAAGACATACTGAAAACCACAGAAGAGTCATGTGCAAAGTTTCATGGCAGACAAAAAGAGTGAAGTTATTTAAAATGTGGGAAAATTAGGGTTCATTCTTAGAGTTGCAATGTGTCATCTTTGTGGTCACAGGCAAGTTAATCTTGTTAAAAAAATTGGGATTAAATAATTTCTTCCGCATAGCGTTTGCATGGGGATGAATTCAGGTTGATTTGACAAAGTGCCTGCCACAGTAAGTTCTCCGCAATTGTCAGTCATGCATCCATTCACTTAATAAGTGCTCACTGAGTACCTACAATGTGCAGTTGTGAGGGGTTATAACTGATCAGTGAACAAAGCCCTTGCCCTGAGGAAGTTCAGTACAAAGGGATATATTATAATAATGATATTTCTTAGTTTTAATCTTAATAGTAGGAAACAGGACCAAGTATAAAGCTCTCAAATATGTTGTTTTACTGAGAAGGTTGCAATAGAGACAGAACATAAAGGATGAGAACAGGTGTGCAGTGAAAGAAAGGACATAAAAGCAAGAAATCCCTAAGCAAGTTCACAAAAATGCATGCAGATTCAATATGGCAGAGAAGTAGAGAGCAGTGTTTTCAGCAGAGACTAGGAGAGGAACCAAGCACAAACAGGTTAGGGAGTCTATATGCTGTGCTAGAGTTTGGGTTTGATTCTGCAGTGGGTGCTTAGCAAGTCCAGAGTTAAATCAAGAAACAGTTCAAATGCTAAGTCAAGAAGAGTGATGGGGATCCTGGGAAGGGGAAATCAGTGGAGACAGGAAACTACATAAGTGACAGAAAGTGAACCACCCACCTTGGTGACTTATAAGATTGCCAGGCAGGAGGTAGAGACGGCACGTAGGAAGTAACTGAAAAAGTGTTCATTCTACTCCAGAGCAAAGAGACATCTGGAGCTGCATGATGTGAGAAGTTTCGGTGGATGATGGGGACAGCACAGGGGTGGAAGAATGAGTGAGAAGGGAGGGCATGTGGCTGTGGAGACAGGGCAGGGTTAAGAAACATGATGATGAAGGGATGAACAGACAGAACCGTGAAAACTAAGGAGCCCCAATCGGGGAGTTCATAGTCATTCTGGGCCACTAAACATTTTGGAGGTTCATTTTATAGATAATCTGATACAGGCTTTCATTTCAGACAAGGGTTTTCATTCATACAAAGTATAAAGAATGGGAAAACACATCAATGATTTTGAAAAATCCAGGTAACAGCTTCTCTTGGGTGTAGCAGGGAGTGTGAGGAAGGCTTCGAGAACTCTGGACCTTTTCAGGTTTTTGAACTGGACATGGGTTACATGGGTGTGTTTACTTGAGAAAATTCATTCTTCTCCCCTATCTGTGCAGTGAATGAAGCAAGTGGTATATACACTTTCTGTGTGCATTGTGTATTTCCATAAGAAGCTAAGATGGAGCCAGGTATGGTGGCTCACACCTGTAATCCTAGCCACTTAGGAGGCAGAGGTGTGAGGATTACTGTTTGAATCCAAATTGGGCAGTAAAGTCTGCGAGCCTTATCTCCAGTTAAACACCACAAAGCTGGAAGTGGAGTTGTGGCGCAGTGGTAGAGTTCCAATCTTGAGCAGAAAAAAAAGAAGGCTAAAATGATGGCATTGGTGGAGGAGGAAAGAGGGAGAAGGTCACATGGGTCAAGGTCTGAAAAGCAGCAGAGCTCTGGTCTATGAAGAACAGAAAGGTGCTACGCTACGTATGACTGGAATACCACCTTCAAATGGAGGGGCTGGAGGGGAGAGTAGAAACTGCATCCACCAATGGCTCCGTGTAATAGAATAAGAGTTTGAAACTTTCACTTAAGGGTAAAAGAATTCTGTTGAGGATCTTAATGCACATGGCTATATGATCTGATTTGTATTTCAGAAGTATCACCGGTATGCTGGAGCCAAAATGGCTTGAGCTGGTCCAGCATGGAGACAACGACAAGTTAGAACGTCATCAAGTACTGTGGACAGCACAGGAGGCAACCAGCTTTAAAACAGTGAGAATGGGACAAGTTGAACACATGGGACATGGCGACACATGTGGAGGAGAGAAAGGAATCCAGAGGGGTATCCAGTCTTGTTGGGTTATTCAGGCAGAAATATTTACTAAAAGTATTTGCTAGGATTCAGACAACAAGTTAGGATTAAGTGATGGGTCTAGAAATCTTTTTTTTTTTGGTGGGGGAGGGGGAAGGAAACTGAAGCCATGGATGTGAATGAACCACTCAGTGGGTATGAAAACTACTCTCATTTAGCATCCCAAATGAAAGTGAGTTTTTACCCAAACATTCTTCACTTCCACCAATCTACATTTATTAAACTGTGACTATAGTACAGTAGAGTGCATTGGATTCCTTATCCCTCTTAGCGCTGTGGGGCTAGTGGGCTAGGATCAGGAGGTAAAGTGGTTTATTCCTATACCAGGCAAAGTTGTCTTTTACTGATTTCTAACTTGGTGATCTTTCCACAGGGACTGGAAGCCCAATACAATTGGAGCTGGTGTTCTAACTGTGTAATGGTGGTTTTCATTCCCCATATACAGAAAGCTGGACTGGACTCTGTCTGAAGAGAAGGACTGCTCAGTGAAGTGACCTCAACACCCTCAGAACTCAGACAGAGGCTACAGTGATAATCATTGATACACATTTAAAAAGTGGTATCAGAAAAAGTAACCAGGATTGTGGCAATGAGATATCTCATAGTTGAATGCTCATTTATAAAATGATGGAAAACAAGGACTCAGAATATGTCATTCTTCACTGTCTGTGCCAACAGGGCATAATGAGGCCAACAGGAAGGAAGATGACGGGAGGTTCTTGAGTATTAAGAGTCATGTGTAAGAATACCAGCAAAGTTGCATCCTAGAGCCAAGCGGGGGCGACTCCTGAGGTATTGGAGCATAGGCAACGGTCCAACAGAGAAGGGAGAAGAGCTGTCTATGAAGAAAGAAAGGATGGATCTGCCCAGCGATGGCTACAACTTGGCCTTCTCTGAGGTTTTGATCCAAATGGATCCAGTGATAGACCACAGGATAGAAGAACAGTTTAG